ATGCTTCTGATTTACTCAGATGACAGAGAGAGAGAAAGATGTTTGGTTTCCTTTACCACGAAAGTGTAGGAGGCACAAAGGCAGCCTGAATGTGGGCCGTTGTGACTTTTTCCACCACCAAGCCTGCTTTCTTGAGAAGAAAAGATGGCTCTGACACACTACTTCCTTCCTTCTTGACTTTGAACATCATGAGAGGTTAAGTTAGGGTGAAGACTTCCACTGGTTGAATGAGATTCAGAGTGGATGGAAAATAAGGCAGCTTCAAAAATGATTGAGTGAGCAAACAGCAAGATCCATCAGAGATCATGCAAAGGAATAGGTCAGAAACATTGAGTCTAGTTAACATATGATCTAGCAACTCCTCCCCTGGCTATATGCCCGTGAGAAATGAAATCCTATATTCACACAAAAATGATAAGTGTTTACAGCAGCATTATTCATAATAGCTCAAAAGTAGCAATAACCCAAACATCCATCAACTAATGAATGGATAGGCAAAATGTGGTCTGTCCACACAATGGAATATTATTTAGCTATAAGAGAAATATAGGGTACACTAAAAGCTCTGACTTTACTACTATACAATTCGTCCATGGATCAGAAAACCACCCATACCCACTAAATCTATTGAAATTAAAAAAAAAAAAAGAAATGTAATACTGACACATTATAACATGGATGAACCTTGAAAACATTAGTGGAAGAAGTCAGATACAAATGTCCACATACTGCATGATTCCACTTACATGAAATGTCCAGAATAGGTAAATCCATAGAAACAGAAAATAGATTCATGGTAGTTTAGGACTGGAGGGTTCGAGGAGAATGGAGATGACTGATATTGGGTGGGAGGTTTCTTTGATGAAAATGGTCTAAAATTGTGGTGATGTGTGTACAACCACATGAATATACTAAACAAAATTAATTCTGTACTCTAAGTGGGTAAACTGTATGGTATGGGAATTATATCTCAGTAAATTTGTTTTATTTTAAGAAACAGCACATTTGGAAGAGACAGACGGGTGAAGACACAGCACTGTAACCGTCCTTTAGCTCTCTGTGTGGCAATCAGGAAGCTGTGCCCCAACCCCATTTCCTTCCTGGCAACGTCTCCTGCCTACTGACCTCAAACTGATTTTCCTAAAGTCCCATTTTTCTTGCATCAGAACTGCTACAACTATCAATGATTTTCACTGACTGAATGATCCTTGGTCTCGAACCCACCTCTCCAGCCTGGTTTCCCATATGAATGCTCTGTTCCAAGTTGTCCGTCCCCTTGCCCTCTGCCAAACGCTGCATGCATTCCTAGTTGCTCACACAACTCAGCCAGCTTGGAAAATACCACCCTCCTATCCTTCACTTCTATCCTTCAAAGATAAGCGAATACAAATCCTCTCATCTCCTCTGAGTACTCAGATCCCTGAGAAGTTTCCTTTCTCTGACTCCCATCTTTCTGTGTGCCTCACCTACTTCTCACAACATATATACTCGATGAGTGAATATAAAAGCATCACACATTTTCTTGTGCGTATAGTCCTCTCCCCCTTACATTAGTCATATGCATTTATTTTGGAGGTGTAATGAGATCTGGGAATACCTATTGTTGGGGGACCCTACTCTGAGGCTTGGTCCAGGATGAGCGAAACGGGGTTTTGAAGGATCCCTTATGCTGTCAGTCTCCTGCCCAACCCACTGCACAATCAAATGATAACTTCCAATCCATGAAAGAACTAGGGGTGATAAGAAACGACATGGAATAAAAAACATATTGTTTTCCTATTGCTAAAAGAAATATATTTGAGCATGGAACACTGACAAATAGAGGAGGGGATAGAGAAGAGAATAAAAACTGCCCTTAATTTCCTAGCCCAAAGGTAGCCAGCATTAGATTTTCTTGTATAACATTGTATACACACACATACGCACATGTGTAGAAGTTTTAAAATGTAGATGCACAGAAATTAATTTTTTTCATAATTGAATTCAACCTACTTATCAACTCTAATTTCTGCTGACGAAGGAAAAACTTTGTCTTTTGATCAAATATTCACTCAAATTTAGGAATCTCCCCATCCTTTTTTCCTGCCCTTGCTCTTTTTCTTCTGGTTTCTTCTCATGCTAACCTACCCTGTACATGGCTAGATATTTTTTTGTTTTTGTTTTTGTTTTGAGATGGTGTCTCACTGTGTTGCCTGGGTTAGAGTGGCATGGCTTCAGCCTAGCTCACAGCAACCTCAAACTCCTGGGTTCAAGTGATCCTCCTGCCTCTACAGGCAAATGCTACCATGCCTTAGTTGTCCGGCTTTCTATTTTTAGTAGAGACAGGGTCTTGCTTTTGCTGAGGCTGTCCTTGAACTCCTGACCTCAAGTGATCCTCCCACCTTGGCCTCCCAGAGTGCTAGGATTACAGGCATGAGCCACCACGCCTGGCCTAGATTAGGTCTTTCTTTTTTGCCTGGCTTAGATTAGGGCTTTTTTTTTTTTTGAGAGTCTCACTTTGTTGCCCAGGCTAGAGTGAGTGCCATGGCATCAGCCTAGCTTACAGCAACCTCAAACTTCTGGGCTCAAGCGATCCTACTGCCTCAGCCTCCCGAGTAGCTGGGACTACAGGCATGCGCCACCGTGCCCGGCTAGTTTTTTCTATATATATTAGTTGGCCAATTAATTTCTTTCTATTTATAGTAGAGACGGGTCTCGCTCTTGCTCAGGCTGGTTTCATACTCCTGACCTCGAGCAATCTGCCCGCCTCGGCCTCCCAGAGTGCTAGGATTATAGGCGTGAGCCACCTTGCTTGGCCTAGATTAGGTCTTTACAAAACAGATTTTGTCATGATGCTCCCTGCCCCGTCCCTCAGCTTAAAGACTGTGGGTGGCTCCCCTTCGCCCGCTGGAACAGCCCCAGTTCCTTAGCAAGGCTCATTCACAGTCCAGCCCAGATCTCGCTTGCACCCCAGCCCTTGCTACTCTTACTAGTAATGCATTCTGCCCTCCGGAGAGCACTTACTTCTCCTGAACCTGACAAAACTTTTGGAGCCTCTTGCTCACATTGTTTCCTCTGCACGGCAACTTTCTTCTCTAAGCAAATACCCTTTTCAATGCTCAGATTAAATGTTACCCTCTCTGGGTCCTCTTCCTTGACTCACTTATACTGAAATTATCCTTCCCCTAACGTGCTCCCTTAGCGACTCGTTCATGCCTCTATTGCTGAATTTATTACACTGCATGAGGATTTGCTGGTCTGTTTCCTCCTCTGGAATGTGGATTTATCCAGGCTCACTCTTATTCATTTTTTCCTTTTCTTTTCACCCTTAAAAGTGGAATATTACACACAGAACCCTGAAGGTGCTAAAAGCAATTGTAAATAAAAGGACATAATATCTCTCAATACACATGTACTTGTGGATTAAAAAACACACAGAAAAAAATGTGGGATGCCCAGGTGAGGACATGCAGTCTGTGTTATTTGTTAGGAGAAGTTACTCTCAAGTTGGCGATGAAAAGATAATTGCCATTTTCTGGTTCCTCATTGAACTCTGAAAAAGGAAGTCACTGAATCCTTATATAAGTGAAACTGACAAGGGACCATGACACACATTCTACAGAACATGGCTTTTCACATGGTTCCATGCATTTATCTTAAAATTAAAAAAGAAGGACAAATCAAACCAAGGGGTGAAAAGATAAACAAAATGTGATATATACATACAAAGGAATATCATTCAGCTTTGAAAAGGAAGGAGATTCTGACACAGACTACGACATGGCTGAAGCTTGAGATATTATGCTACATGAAGTAAAAGGACAGATATTAACACTGCAGTATATGATTTCACTCCTATGAGGCACCTAGAGCAGTCAAATGACAGAGGCAGAAAACAGAACAGAATGGTGGTTCCCAGGGGCTGCGGAAGAGGAAAATGGAGAATTATTGTTTAATGGGGACGAAGATGAAAAAATTCTGGAAATGGATGGTGAAGATGCTTGTACAACAATGTGAACCTACTGGTTAAGATGGTAAATTTTATGTGTTTTTTTTTTTTTTTGCCACAATTTAAAACTAAAAAAAAAATAACAAAAAAAAATGTACGAACACACGACCCATTGTTTTGCTGCCTGTAGGGGAGAATACAGATTTTGTGGAACATGAAGCTTATAGAATTTGAGATCCCTTTTATAGAAAAAAATCACAAATAGAAAATTGGGTAAGAAAGCACATACTTATTTGCAATGAGAACAGAAAGGGATCATGTAAGTGAGGGTCCTGCGTATAAGCTTCTTTAGCTTTGAGGGTAATTTGCTTTTGCTGATCATGAAAGTTTTGTGTTTTATCCTTGTGGATATGACAGCTGCAGCTGCACTGGCTGTTACTGTGCACCCTACAGAGTGGGCTGCGGGATCCACCACCTTTATTTCACTCGTCAATGGCTACATATGGATTAGATTCAACCAAATGCAATAAGAAGCCTCCTCTTTATTTTCCTGAGACAAGTAATTGAGCCTTTTGTCTAGTCTAGACCCATTTTATCTATGTCTTCCGACACACTGTAGAAGGTTTCAGTAAACATGGCTGGGCTGTTCTTTGTGTGTGAAGTTAATGCTTTTATACATGTGCCTTTGGGTGTTTTTCCAGCAAGGTTGGTGTGTTTAAATTGGTTGTCTGTCTTTTGGCTCTAGGGTAGGAACAACAAGCACAAATGTAAAAATCAAGAAGCATTGCCTTTCAGCTTTGCAGTAAATGCCCTTTCTGGAGAAAAAGCAGTGTGGGGTGGGTGGGGTAATTAACAAGCTCCCTCTGGAAGCCAGGGACATGTGCTGTGTGCCTCTGGGGGCTGCAGCTGCGTGACCGGTGCCGGCCACCATCCCCTTCCTGAGTTCCTGCTGCCGGGTCAAGGGCTGGACGGGGACAGGAATTGCAGAGCGCGTCAGTACCTGCACAGTCAGCTGTTTCCAGACCTGCTGGATTCACTTTCAGTTACAAAAAGTTCCCTGGAAGATGACAAAGTCAAAAGTGCATGCAGAAGGGAACTTCCTTTTGGGGAATGTCTGCAAAGAAAAGCATTCCTTTTTCCTTACGAAGTCTGACTTGGAGAACTTCCCCCTTCCTCTACTCACATGTAATTGCAATAGCAGGTCAGAACTTGATGGCTGTTCTTCAAAAATGTTTGTGGGTTACATTTATTTTCAGGTTCCGTTTATGCCACAAGACCCAGTTTTGAAATAGTAAGAAAAGTCATGATGTAATTTTAATATTTAACACCAGAAATGTGGCTTAAAAGGAAATAAAGTGGATTGGGGTAAATAATGATTTCAAAAATCGTATTTCCTAAATTATCTTTAGTCTTGGCTATTGTGGGTTATAAATTAATAAATTTCTCAACCAATGAATGGTAGGGCTAGAAGGCTGGGCTCTTGAAATGAAATTACTATTTTACCTAATTATAGAAGCAATGTGTATACATTGGAGGAACATTTTTATCTATAGAAAAGAGTGGGGGGAAAAGACAAAGAAAAATATTCTGTGATTCTACTACCCACAATTAATCTCTGTAAACTTTTAGGTTAATGGTTAAGTATATTTACCTTCAGTGTTAAACACAGCTAATAATTTTTCCATAAAAACATACACTTTAAAAGTTTAGGGACTATGTTAAATAGTAGACTCTTTGCATTCAAAAATTTAACATTCAGAGTCGTGTATATGTTTTAGAAATCTGGAAGGTTTATAACATGTAGAAACACAATTTTGCTGACAAGCTGGTGGGCAGTAGTGAGTCGCCTGGCTGGTGAGTCACACAGTGGCTGCCAAGTGTCCACATCTCAATTTGGCTTTGCTGTTCTCTATAGGAGAAGAACATCTGATTGGTGATCTGTGGCTAAGAGTGCTTAGTGCCTTCCAATATTCATTCTCCCCTTCTTCATTGCTTAGGCATATTGCCACCCAACTGAAAGAATACATTCCTAGATTCCTTTGTAGCTAAATAGGTGACTTAATGTTGGCCAATGAGATTTAAACAGAAGTATCACAGCTCCTGGGAAGTATTCTTTTTCCATTTTTCCCGGGTGGAATATAATTACAATGGCTGGAGCTCAGCACCCACTTTGGATGTTGAGGATGAGTGCACAACCTAGAGAAAGTCAACTGTGAGATGAAAGGATACTACTGGTCCCTGACAATTTTGTGGAGCCACCATACCAGTTCTGAGATGCCTATCGCCAGATTTCTTTTGCATGAAAGAGAAATATATTTCTGTCTTGTTTAAGCCACTGTGAAAAACATCTTTTTTTTTGTTCTTATACTCAGCTAAACTTAATCCTAACAAATACAGGCTTGTTTACTGCTATCATTTACCTAATGCAGGGAGTGATTGACTAACCTGTTGGAAAACTAAAATGAAGTGATCTCATTGTGGAAAATAGCACCTGGAGGCTTTCTGGCCTTGGTTTACTGTCTATTCATGTCTCTTCTTGCCATGTGATGTCTTCTGGGACCCAGGTCCTGTGGACTCACTTGCAAAAACACCTCTTAAAAGCTAGGCCTTGCTGTGTTTCTCTGGGATGGGTTGAGATTGGGGTGTGGCAAGAAGCCCCTCTGGCCTCATGGGGAAGGCCAGTCTTGGCCAGGGAGGAGTGGCAGTGAAGAACAGGGGGAAGATAAAGGCATCCATGCAGAGCAACTTATAAAGTAGCTTATATACTTGGGAAGGGGGGAAAGGGAAGCCATTCAGTGATGCAGAAATTGTGAAAGAATGCATTGTCAAAGTTGTAGGATGCTTAGACGCCAATAACGTTTCAAAGTACAAACAATTGCCTCTTTCAAGGAGAACCATAACTGATTGGCAGCATGAACTAGCTTTCAACTTAACAGAACAACCTCATGCAATACTTCAAAAGAAAAATATATATTATCCAATCGCTTTGGAAAAATCAACTGATACTATTGACTTGGTACGGGTTTTATACTTCATTCAGGTTATAGCAGAAGATTTTCTTTGCTACGAAGAGTTACTTGGTTTGGGCACTCTTGCGAACAGAACATGGGGAATAGGTATTTTCAACAACTTTCAAGATAAATGTCGTGAAGTTGGACTGAATGTGGTAAATTTAATGAGTGTATGTATGTATGGTGCCCCTTCCATGACAGGAAAACATGAAAGTTTTATTGCACAGATAAAAGAAGTATTAATGCATACGGATGCTCCCATTTCTTTTCACTGTATCTTGCATCAGCAAAATCTCTGTGCCAAAGCTACTATTTTAAGTGACACTTTGCAACAAGTTATAAGTATTGGTAGCTATATAAATGCAAATGGGACATGGTATCTTCAGTTTCGTAACACACTAAAGTTGAACCATGAAATACTCGGTGTGTTTTTGCCGTATCATTCTAAAGTGTGTTGGCTATTATAGAGACAGGTGTTAGCCAAAATTTTATCTCTGTGAGAAAAGATAAATTTTATGAAGAACAGAATCAGCAATGTGAATTATTGAAAGAAGATTCATATTGGAATGCAGCATTTCTGTGTGATATAGTCAAATCAAATAGTCAAATCAAAATGACTTGACTATTACTTTGCAAGGTAAAACTAAGTCTATATATAATATATGGCAAAAAATCCAAGTATTTTGAAAAAAAGCTATCTTTTTTCAAGATAATTCTTCAAAAGGAAATTTCAGATGAACATTTTCCCCTGTTAGAAAAGGTCTTTGATGAGCAAGACAATATATGCGAATCATTTGAGAATACACAGCTGTTACAGACCTATTAATTGGAGAATACAATGAAAGGTTCACTGACTTTGAGAATCATAACATCACACTCAAATTAGCATTTTAGCCTCACAGAGTTGATATCACCAAGGCACCTAAAGAACTGCAAATGGAATTGATTGAGTTCTCAGTAGATGACATTTTAACGTCATCGTTTGATACTAAGAAAGATCCAATTGAAACATGGAAAAATGCAGTAGAATACCGAACATGCCCAAAATATGCATTCTTGCTTTTCAAACACTTATTCCTTTGAGTCTACATTCTCCTACCGAACCCAAATCAAGATGCCTTTGAGGTCATGAATGGCTGATACCCATCTAGAAGATCAACTGAAACTGAGGACCTGCATGCTGCAACCAAACATTCAAATGATTTCCAACAAAAAGTAGACATAATAAAGTCATTAAAGTCATTAAAAGGTTAGTTAACTTTAAAATCAACACATGGTTTTCATTTTTTGAAATTATTAAGTACACAGTAGTTAGATTTTCACAAAATCATGTACATTTTAAGTACAACTAATTGACGTTTCTTGAATGTGGCTTTATTTGATTACAGCTAAATTAATGCAGCCTTCCAACATGAAAAGGTTCCCCAGCCCTGGGCTAGAGTATTGCATGCTAATGAGGAAGCAAGGCAGAAGCCCCTGCCTCCCACCTCTATGGGTGTTTTAAAGGCCTTGTAGGCTCCAAGGAAGGGTTTGGGATATAGCTGGGTAGGAGGAACAGCAAGAACCCTGAGTGTACCTTTATTTTTAAAATGTGGGGAGAAGGGAATGTACCTTCTCCCCACAATTCCTCCAGATTGGAAGAAATGAGCTTTTCTTTTATATCTCATCCTTTTCAAAAGGACAATGAGCCTCTTGACTGAGTTAGGGTGATCAACTGTCCCAGTTTGCCTGGGATTGAGGGGTTCAGTGCTAACACTGGAGCAGTCCCGGGCAAACTGGGACAAAGTGGGCACCCCAGGTCTAGCTCTCCTAAGCCCGGTGGGTTTAATTCCCTAAACATTGAGAGAACCCTGTGACATGAGTCAAGTCCTCTGGACTTGGTTTTGTGCTAGGCTAAAGACACTTAGGAAATCTCTTTGGCTCAGCAGTTCTCAACCAGGGGAATTACTGCTTGGAATTCAAGATTGGGAGTATTTTTATTGCAACCATAACTGGAGTGTGCTACTAGCATTTAGTGAGGTGGGGCGATGCTCGTGACAGTCCCCACAAGGCATGATTGTCCCACTTAGAATGTCAGTGGTGACCCATTGAGAATCTGAGTGGGACGGCCTCACCCTGTCTTTCAGGCTCAGAGTCTTGCTAAAGAGGTCAAGTCGCTATTCTCGCTTACTCTGGGGCCCCAAGTCTCAGTGACGTCTCCTGGGAAGTGGAAAGCTTCTAGGGAGTATTATTTAAAGGAGAAAATTACATGGACAGGTGTAATATTTAAAAAATGTTATCTCTTACTAAACAAAGGCTTCAACTCCCTGTGAGTAGCAAATAAGGGCTCTAGAGCAATAACAAGATTTCTCAAAGAGGATAAGAGACAACGTAGAATACAGCACTAAAAAGTACAATAGAGGGTAAAGCGGAAGGAATCTCCTAGCCATAGGGTCCTGGCCAACTCCTCTGGGAGAAGAAACTGAAGATTGAGTCTAGAAACTTCTGTGTAACCCTTACGGGACATCAAATAACTACATGCACAGTTCCCATTGAGGAGCAAATCCATTAGTCATCTTCATAAAATCCCAATTTAAAGAAAATGTTCAGGAATTATAATAAAAACTTATCTTGGATAGGGCAAATTTGGCATCAAGTTTCTGAAGCTCAGAGTGGACAAAAATGGGTGAAAATCATGCTTTCCCAATGGAAAGCTGTCTTCATGAGGCGTCCCCTGCATCCTCCAGCCCTAGTTGGGGGCCCCATTTATTAATAGTGTGAAAGTAGAGGAGGCCTTCAACAAAGCCAGCTCAGAACCATTTCCAGTTAACACAGAGACTCTTTCTTTGTTTATAACAAACTCAGTATAAAACTTATTTGATAATCTTTTTGGAATATATTTATCCATGAACTCTCCAATATTTTTTTGTTTTGTTTTGGTTGAGACAAGGTCTTACTGTGTCGCCCAGGGTGGAGTGCTGTGGCATATGATAGCTCATTGCAGCCTCAAATTCCTGGGCTCAAGTGATCTTCCTGCCTCAGCCTCCTGAGTAGCTGGGACTACAGGCATGTGCCACTATGCCCAGCTAATTTTTTCTATATATTTTTAGTTGGCCAATGAATTTCTTTCTATTTTTAGTAGAGACGGGGTCTCGCTCTTGCTCAGGCTGGTTTTGAATTCCTGACCTTGAGCGATCCTCCCGCCTCTGCCTCCCAGAGTGCTAGGATTACAGGTATAAGCCACCGCGCCCGGCCCTGGATAATCTTTAAATTTTTTGTAGAGACAGAGTCTTGCTATTGCCCAGGCTTTTCCAATATTTTTAAAGTGTGTGGCTGATCTTGTAAATTGGTTCACTTAAAACCCAGTGCAATCCTCTTCCAGCCTGTCTTCCTCTATTACAGAGGAAGGAAAGCTAAAAATATTTCCCAGACTCTTTTGCAACTAGAGTTCTAAGTTCCACCAAGAATAATTAAATGTCTGTTTTTCTTGGGGGCAGCCTGGTTTGTGTCTATTGCCCTGGTATAAATAACAAGTGTCTCCTTAAGTTCCAGGGTCACCATAGGGACTTGGAGTTGGAGGGGATGACTGGCTATTTTGGCAAGTCCCTGGGTGTTAGTCCTTCTAAGGCAGCTGTGGTGGCGTTTCTAAGGTGGTGACTGATAGTGCTGTTTCTGCTGCACCAGTCACATGGAATGGTTGGACACTTCCCCAGGACACTTTGTTCCTGGTGGTGTAGCCTTTAAACCCATTTCCTGGGTCTTACTGGCAAGTCTATAAGTTTATGTGGAGACAAAATTGACTCCATCTTGGATGCTAATCTGTCATGTAGACTTCTGATTAACCCCAGTCCCAGGAATGCCTCTTGATTTCTACTTTATTTACTATACCTAGTGTAAGAACATGTACTCACCATAGATTCTGCTCTAGATCAAAGCAACCTTGATGTTATCACATAAATTATAGGCTACAATGTACATAGCATTCTTGCCTTTCCTGTAAAGTTGCCTTCATTTGTCTGTGTAGAGCACATACACCTTTTCCCCATGGTAAATAAGCCCCAGGTCTGGGGGTAACAAGTGCAGAGATCTATCTGTCTTGCCGCAGCCCAAGATCATGCTTCTGTTCATAAGTCCTCCAATAAATCACTTTACACTAACAGACTTGATTTTTCTTCCTTGTTCTTTGGTTTCTCTCTTCCTTCTGTGTTTCTAGGTTGCTTTTCATATAGAGCCCTTTCACAGACCACCTTATTTCATCAGTTCTAAGATGTGCATTTTCCCATACTTTTAAATCTCTGAAATTGAGATGCTTCTTACATTCAATGACCTATTAAAGTTTAATTAGCAGCGTTATATATTTGTTAGTGGTTTACAAAATAATGGTGTGCCTTACAAATGATAGTATCTTAGCTTCAGTGAAAAACAGTAATAAATATCTTACTGCTTGTCTTAATCTGCTTGGGCTGCCATCACAAAGCACTATAGACTGAGTGGCTTAAACAATAGAAATGAACTTTCTCACAGTTCTGGAGGTTGGAAGCCCAAAATCAAGGTTCCAGCTAAGTCTGTTTCTGGTGAGGGCTCTCTTCCTGGTTTGCAGACAGCTGCCTTCTCGCTGTGTCCTCATATGACCTATCCTCAGTGTGTGGGGACAGTCAAAGAGTGTTGTCTCTTCTTATAAGGATGCTAACCCTGTAGGATCCGGGCCCAACCTTTATGACCATTTTCAACCTAATTACTTCCTTGAAAGCCCCTTCTCCAAATAAGCCACACTGGGTGTTAGCCCCTTAACATATAAATTGGGACATAAACATTCAGTCCCTAACACTGCTTAAATCAGGCAGTGACTCCATCTACTATAATCAAGTAGATTATATTGTTTGCAGCTGAATACCTCGAACCACATAAAATGCAAACTAAAAAAGGAACTTAAGATGGCTGGAATCAAAGAATCTATGTCCTAGGTCAGTTCTATCCTTTTAAAAATTCTACCTGGTTTTCAAAAAGATGTTGTATAAATTAGGGCTTTCTGGCAGAGAATATGAAATTTTTTGCTACGCCTAACAGTCCCATAAAAACCTATATTACTTGTTCATTTCCAGAGTGCTCTTAGTTTTTTCTGTCCCTCACCTTTCAGCCTCTTATTATCTGAATTTCTCCCCACTTCCCCCTTTTTAAATCATAAAAGAAACATTTATAAAATGTAATTGTTATGTAGCATTGTGTTACTCTGTTTCTTTTTTTTTTTTAAACTGTTTTACTACAATGTGATCCAGGACCAAGCAGTTTTATGTAAATCCAGTAATTGTGCTGTAATATTTCAATTGTCACAACAATTATCATCAATATCATCATCAAATGTATTTAATTGTGTATGTGATTGCAGTGATAAATGTCTTACTGTTCTTGTTTCTGACATGTCTGTTGAGTTGGCTTCTTGTCCTCAGCTTCCCAACCTCTTCTCCTTACAGGGATCTCAGGCATCTTAGGAGCCTTGGGTCCTGGGAGTTGTGACTGAGGAGAAGCAGAGCCATAATTGCGTCTGGTGACAGGTATGAGATATTTTCCCTACCCAGGTATTCATTTCTGTTTATGGCTTTGCACTGGGGCTGGAAAATTCTCACAAGAAAAATCAAGTTGAACTCTGTCCAGCCTGAGACACACAGACATATTGGATAGACTTGCCAGAAGGTTCTGACGTAAACCAGATTGTAGGAGGCACAATGGTTCTTTCTCTGTCACTGTCAGTTGGAATTCATCATGGGAGATATGGCACAACTAGCTAACCTGAGATCCAGGTTTAGGCATTTGATGGGGTGATGGTTCTACCTGCAAGCTTTACCTGGCTTCGTGTATGAGACTTGGGGAAAGAGCTGAGTGTATTAATTAGGGTAAAACTGCACCATTATAGTACAGAGATTCACAATAATCAAGTGGCTGAAAGAAATAGAAGTTTCTTTCTCAGCCATGGCCGAAGGTGAGCTCTGATCTATGAAGTCATTTGGAAGCTCAGAGGCTTGGTTTTCTCTACTGTGGTCAAATCCTGGCTTCTAATGACCCGTCTGAGACCAAGTCACAATCAGTCAGTATTCCAGATTGAGGGGAGATGAAAATGCATGGAGGAATACATGCGCAGTGTTCTAAGGTCCAGGCCTGGAAATGGCATGTATCATTCATGCCCATGCTCCATTGGTGAGAAGTCACATGGTCTCATCTATCTGCAAAAGGACTGAGATGCAAAAGGACTAGCATGACCAGCTATAACTCTATTGTTATGGCAATTAGAGAGAATGGAATTTTGGGAAAAAGAATCCCTCTCTGATTTGTTGAATATATGGGAATATATAGGATTAGGATGCATCGGGACCAAGCTTATTTTGACAGGGGACAACCTTGCATTAAGCTGTCTCTCTTCAGAGGGGACCTCCTGCTTCTAGCACAGAGGCCTGCGGTGGTTAGATCTCTCTTAGTAATGTGGAGTCTTGCCTTCAGGGCTTTGCATGGGTTCTGCACCACCAGTCACGGTGGTAGTAAGCTGCTGCTAGGATTGATGGGAAAAACTCATGTAAACACCCCTGGGGGATTCTTGAAAACAAACAGGAAGAGGAACCCTGGGAAAAGCCTGGACATCCTATTACTCAAGCAGTAAGTGCTCAGAGCATTAAGACTTGGGGTAATTATTCAAATGTGGCCCATTTATACTCACAAGCTGATGAAGTTTGGGCGTTCCAGGTATTTGTAGATTTGATTATTATTATTATTTTTTAAAGATGAGAAAAACCTTCCTGTCTCTCTCTCTGCCAAGATAAAGTACAAACTTCTACATAGCATTCAAGGCTTCTCACAGGTGGCTTAAATGAACCCTGAGTTCTGATCTTTCCTCACCACCCTCCATTTTTGGATGCACTGCATTGATTACTCTTCCCCAGGTGTGACAGGTATTTTCGTGCCTCTGTGCCTTTGCTCTTACTGTTCCTTATGCCTGGCCTGCCCTTCCTATCCTGGATTAATCTTAATCAAAGCTCATATTGTATTATGAAGCTAAAAGAAACCTTTCTAAGCTATCAAAAACACACCTTGATCAGTCATGGTGGAGGAAGGACTGAATTATCTTTCTATTCTTTCTACAGAAAGTGATTTTTCAAAATCTCACGAAGAGGCAAAGGATATGCAGCCCAAATATTTTGTAAAAAGCACATCATAGAAGTGTGCCAGACAGCTAATTAGTAAAAGTGTCAAGTTCTTTTTTTAGTTTTTGTGTTGTGTTGCTGATGGTATTCAATAGCTTTGAAAAATTTATAATTTGTGAGGATTCTTAAAATTCTAATTAGATACCTATTTTTAAAATTCTTTTTCTTATAAAGGACCCAATATTGTATGAGTACCAGGCCCCCTAAAATCTGGATTTCAACTTTCTCTAATAATTTTTCTCTTATCTCTTGCCTTTTCCCTCCAAAAACTAGAGAGTAAATTTCTGGAGTTTCAGGGAGTGTGAGGACAGGCAGAAAAGCTGCAGGCCAACCCTCACAGCAGGCTTAATTGAAATTTGTCTCAGTAAACTGACAGTTTATTACATGTCATGGATCTTTGGAGCTTCTTGAGTGTAACTGATACCTCAGATGTTAAATGAACAAATACCAAGAGTTTTGCACGAGGCTTTGTCCTTAGAGAGAGTTCCCCGATCTCCTTTGAAAAAGTAGTCCAGTGCTAACTTTAGAACTTAGGATCTTCAAAGTGTCCTTATGTTGTGATTGGATGTTGGCTTTCAAATGTCCTATTCCACTGCTTCAAAGAAGAAAGGGCCTTCTGTCCTTTGGAACTGGGAAATGCAAGTCAAATAGATTTGACAGGGCCCATCAATTTTCTGTTGGTCAATAATTCTTGGCTCCTTTACTGTTTCCAGAGATGACTTACTGCGAACAGAGGATTATTTTTAATGATGTAATCCTGACTTAAGCAAGCGGAAGTGTATCTATTTAGAAAGATTTTTATCTCATAGGCAGAATAAGGTCCACATTGGTAATCTCCCCATCAAGAAAGTCCCTCCTTTGCTCTGATACCTTTTTCTTTGGATCTGGAGGTGGGGAATGGGGTGGGGGAAAAACCTCCCTGCATCTTGCTCACTCAGTGATGGATGTTGACAGGGGATGTCTGGGCTCTGCTGCGACCCTGATGATAATATGGCTGGCTTTACTTTAGTTGTCACAGGTGACCCTACCCCGGTATTTCTGCTTGGCTCCACGTTCCCTTTGTGGGTTCTGTGGATCGGGGAATGCACACATGCCTTCCTGATAAGTAGCAGTGACACAAGGCACCAAAGACCTTCGGAAATCCCTGTGTTGGGATTTGAGGGTCTGTGTGAGATGACACCAACCAACATCACCTTCTGTTTCTCCCCTATATTTACCTTGCACTTGAGTCAGAATGTACCACTTGCTGCAGCAAAAGCAGAGCAGCGCTTAGATGATCTTTCCATGATTCAGGATTTCCCTCATGGTGTTTCCTTTTCCTGGAATGCCCTTTCTTCCTATTTGCACATGTCAACAATTTTATTTACAATTTGATCCATCTTAACCAGATAGTTCCTATAGCATTACTTCCTCTTTGGAGTCTCCATTAGCACTTTATTTGTATTTTGGTGAAGGGACTTGCCTTGCCTTGTTCCAACTGTCGTCACGGCAGCACAGACATTGCTCAAGTTAGCAGCCGTGTATGTTAAATTGGCTGTGACTGTTTCCTCCTGTATGAGGGTTGAACTGTCTACCTGCAAAGCCTGGAAAAACTCCCAGGATGACAAGCTACTAGAGTTCAGGGGCAGCCGATCATCCCTGATCCCTTCCACTTTAAAGTGAAAATTACTTTTCTGACCTCAGGGAAAAGCCATATTTCATCTCTTAGGTGTTACGACCCCACCTTGTCCCCATACAAATTGCTTTTAGGGACCATATGTTTCTTTAGACAAAATGTGCCTTAAAACATCCCCAATTGTCTCACTATCTAAACAGAAAATAATATTCCTCATCATTTCAAATGCTCATGAAATGTCCACAGTAGCAACCTTGCGTTCCTATCGGGCAATGACTGTGTTAGCATGGAAGCATTTAAGAGTCATATTTATAAACCCAGAGCTTAGGCCCTCACCCAACTTTATGTATTTCAATTCTTTTTTCACACACTAGATGTCACTCTCTACCCATTGAATTTAAAAGCAAGGCATCGCAGTGTGTTAATTAGGGGAAAAAAAGCTATTTGGAAAAGGGTTCCTAAGTGGCTGCAGACCATATTTTCAATTACTTCCAAATAGGACAGTTTCCCCTACAGTTTGCAAGAGGCATTTATTATTTCTTTGGTGAAAAGAAGCCTTTCAAAACTCATTAAAGGGAAGAGGAGTCAAGTCAGTGGTGTTTTCTCTTCCCAGCCCCGTGCACGGGGATGTAGACAGGATGTAGACGTTGTTTCCTCAGCCAGGGACAGAGCCGCAGGAGGGCGCTGGCATTCAGACCTGTCCCCAGAGAGGCAGGGAATTCCCACGTTCAGCTCTCTCAACACCACCCCAAAAAGGACCTTTCGAGTATGAAGGAAGCATCCCTGACTTAATTTCGTTTTCTTGATTAAACTGGCATTTTCAATCATGAAAGGTATGTGTGAACCTTCTAATTGAATCGCTGAGGTGAAAGAAACCTAAAGAAATAACAGTGCAGAAAGGGACCTACTTGCTTTCCGGTTGCTTAAGCTGAAACAATGTGCAGCGTTTGGCAGGCGATTGCCTTGTCGCCTTTTGTTCTAGAAGGCGGACTTGGGAGCAGTTCTCTCAGAACCGCAGGACAGGCACATAGTGTGGTATTATTTCGTTTAAGTTCCATAACGGTTTTTACACCACAAATGCCCCCTAAATGACAAAACTTCACAATTTCACAACTTTAAGAGGGAAATAGGAACCATTTCAGAGGATCACTTAGATATTTCCTGATACAGCTTTGGTTAACCCTGGGGCATATGAGTTGGCCAGGAATTCCAGAACTGCTTTTCATTTTAAGTAACTTAAACTTTTAAGATACTAATTTCAAGTAAATATCATTCCCTAACATTACCAAAACAACAATATTCTCAAAATGACAGTAAATAAAAGTGACAGTTTTAAAGTATGGGCCTGAAATTTCAGGTGTGAACTGAATTGCTTTCTACTTCCTAGAAATTTGTAGGTGCTATGGTTTGGATGTTCGTCCCCTCCAAATCTCATGTTGAGATTTGATCCCCAGTGTTGGAGGTGGGACTGGTGGGAGGTGTTTTGGTCATGGGGACAGATCCTTCATGAATAGATTAATGCTCTCCCTCAGGGGTGAGTGAAATCTCCCTCTGTTAGCTCCTAATAAAGCTGGTTGTTGAAAAGAACCTGGTATGTCTCCTGCTTGCTTCCTCTCACTGTGAGATCTCTGCACATGCCTACTCCCTTCGCCTTCCACCACGCATGGAAGCAGCCGGAAGCCCTCACCACAGGCAGATGCTGGCACCATGCTACTTGTGCAGCCTGCAGAACCATGAGTCAAATAAACCTCTTTTCTTTATGAGTTACCCAGCCTTTAATGCAACACAGAGCAGACTAAGATAGCGAGTTAACTATCTTTGTAACAAAAACTCACATAGTAAATGTAAGGTTTTTTGGTGGCAGCGAAAAGACAGACAGAGAGAAAGAGTGGGGGCCAAACCATGTGGCTTTATTATACACTCATGGATGAGGTACTGGGGCCTCAAGAGAGGGGGGCCCCAGAAGTTGCCCCCGTTTGAAGGGGCTGAGGCCTTATATATCCTTTGGGCCTGGCTAGGGACTTTTGGCGGGAAGAGCTGGACATTTTCTGTTGTGAATTTGGGTGGTCATTGAGAAATAGGAGGGGCTAGAGGTATTTGTGGAATCCAGGAGTGAAAATGTTCATATGTGGGTGGACATCTGGGTGTGGTTCCTCTCAGCCGGGCCTGGCAGTTTGTCCTTGATGGGTCTGCACTCATGAGCGTTTTTTTTTGTGTTTTTTTTTGATCTGGGAAAGGGAGGGGGCCACCACCCGCCTTACAGTAAATATAAGTTCAAGTAACCTTGAGGTCTGCTTTGCACCTACAGGCATGTGTACACACACACACACACACACACACACACACACACAAATTGTGAGGCTTGACAAGCATGCCTATTAAATTTTAGATCATTATGTACTTTGAATTTAGGAGAATACTCAAATATATCTTAGTCGTTGGTGAGGCTGAGTTGCTTGAGCTGTCCTGAAAACGTTATTTCTAAATCATAATTGGACCTTATTTAGCTGGTATTAGAATGTGGTATGCTCAGTTTTCATGTGTGTTTGTGTATGATGACATTTTGAAACAATTCTTGGTCTATTTGTACAGATCTCAATGAGACTCAGTTTGAATTACACATATAGCTTTTCCTTCTCAAATGACAACTTTATATATACAGAGAGTCCTGAAAGCAGGAGAGATATATAAGAAAAGAAATTGAATTCATTCATTCAACAAATATGTAGAGAGCACTTACTATTTCTTAATAAATAGTTTTTTTCTCATTATAAAAGTAGTCCTTGTACATTGTAGGAATTTGGAAGATACAGATGGACACACAGAAGGGTATATAGCCCACCCATATTCTATCATCCAGAGATTTCAACATTCATATATTGATAATTTATTAATATTTGGTTGATGTATTTCCAGTTTTGGCCTCTACCTATATCCATACAGTCTATTAATTTGCAATCATGTCATGTGTACTATTTTGTCAATTCCTTATCTCCCATTTTTCTTCATATTCAATATTCTTCATATTCATTCAATATTCTTCTTCATGAATATTCATATTCATTCAATATCATGAATATTCATAGTCAATATTCAATATTCTTCTATGACACCATTTTTAATGGCTGCAAAGTATTTTGTTATTTGGAAAATTTTGAGAACCAATTGCCAATGGTTGGACCATGTTGTAGCTATCACTTCATGTCCACTCATGATCGTTTCTGTAGGATATAAACCATAAGCAGGATTTTTAGATTCAAGAATGTGAATATTTTAAGGTTCCTCCATGTTGCAAGTTACCTTCTTATCTTTTAAAAGTCAATTTACATTTATTTCTACCGGCAGTACACAAACATGTCTGGGTCTTTTCACTGTTGCCTTAAAAATCTTTTTACAGTGACTTCAGATGCTTTTCCCTCGTTGTTTTAGTGAAAAGCAAACAGGTTTGTTTAACATCAGCCTGGAGATAAATGCCTTAGCACATTAATAAAGGAGTTTTTATATTAGATTAAAGGAAGAGCAAATAAACAATAAAAAGTAATAGTATTGCATCTCTGACTCTGCATTTATTACAACAAGAACAGCTTAGTTTTAATTACTAGTGATAAATACTTCATAGTCTGCTAATAAACGTCCCGCAGTATATCTTGAAAAATGCAATAAACTCTTTGTCAGGTAAGAATTCACTATAGTTCTTGGCCTCTAAATCTCTGTTGAAAAGAAGGATAAAACTGCCATTTTTCCTGGGGAGAATTATTGGAAAGGCTGATAAGGAAGTGAGACTTAGTAAGGCTCTGAAATAATTACTGCCATTAGAACAAAATTGGGGAAATAAACCTGCACATTAATGTAGAACTAACATTAGGTCAAGCTAGTGCTTTTTCTTTTTTGAAAACAAAACAAAACTTTAAACCTAGTGCTTAAGAGAAAAATGAAAAAAATTAAGAATAATATAATTTAGAAAAAAAAAATCCCTGGTTACATTTGAAAACGTTTTGCCAAATAGATAGATTAGGGAGGAACTTGCATTTCCTTTGGTCGGGGGCTTTGATATACTGTTCTTAGTAGAGTTGGCAAAATTTGGGCAAAAATATTCAAATCATAAAATATGTAGGTTCTAGGTTTTAATCTTTATTTGTACTGACTTTAGAGATACTACTGGGAATCAGGAAGAAATTTCTTTTTATTCATTTTGGGGAACTTTCTTACTCTTTCTTCTAGTGTATTTTAAAAACATTCAAAATAGAAATAAATTTTTGTCTTTTTTCTGATTTAGAAAAAAGATACATACACTTTGTAAAAAATTACATAACATAGAATAAAAAGGAAAGCAAAAATCACTAAAAGTACCACTCTTCAGAGATGACCACTATTAATATTTGATGAACATCTTTCCAGATAGCTGACTCTGTTCTCTTAACAGATATAACATTTTATAAAAATCTGTTTGTGCTACATATATTGTTCAATAACCTGCTTTTCTTTTTACAAAAATGCATCTTGTGACCATGTTTTGAGGTTAATACGTATAAGTTTGTATCATCATCATTTTTAATGGCTTATTAATATTCTATTATAGATGTACAATAAATGATTTTAATTTATTATCTTAATGTTTACATTTAAAAAAATTACCATAAAGGTATACGATTCTGAATTTTTTTAAACATTGAAGAAGTGCATAAACTAAAAAGTGATCTCATTTATTCACTCTTTTCCACAGTTAATTCTACCTCCTAAAGGTAACCCTTAAAATATGATTTATAGAAATATTTATAAGAATATATAAACTTTTACACATACATTTTTTCCCCAAATGAGATCATTTTATGTTCTATAATTTGCTTTAAAAATACTCACAACATATTGTGTGCATTTTCTGGATTGGTACATATAACGTTATCTAATTCTTTTTTAATAACTGCATATGTAGTAGTATGGATGCACCATAATTGCACCATAATTTAACCTATACCTTGTTGTCTTAGTCTGTTTGAGCTGCTATAACAAAATATCATAAACTGGTTAGTCTATAAACAACAGAAATTTATTTATTTATTTGTCATAGTTCTGGAGGCTGAGAAGTCCAAGTTCAAGGTACCCACAGATTTCATGTCTGCTGAGGGCCAACTTTCTGGTCCATACATGGCATCTTCTCACTGTGTCCTTGCATGGTAGAGGTAATGAGGGGTCTCTCCCAGACCTTTTGTATAAGAGCACTAATCCCATTCATGAGGGCTCCACCCTCATAGTCTAATCACCACCCAAAGGCCCCACCTCGTAATACCAACTACTTGAGGGTTAGGATTTCAACATATGGATTTTGGGGGACACAAACATTCAGACCAAAGCAACGATGGAGGGACATTTAGGTTATTCTAATTATTTTATATTAAACAATGCTGTAGTGAACAATCCTGCACATTCATCTTTATAAAGTATCCTATTATCTCTTTAACAGATTCCTGGCAATGCTATTGCTGAGTCATTCTTTTTTAACATCTTGATCAGTATAGTCCAAGTGTCTTCCAGTTACTTTCCACTTCAGGCTTGTGCTGGGTGCTGATATTTTCTTTTTATCTTTTCTAGCCTTCTGAGTATAAAATGATTTATCTTTGTTACTTTTATTTGCATTTTGTTTATTATTAGTGAATTTAAAAACATTTTACAACGTTTATTGTTGGTCATTTGCGGTACTTAGATAATGTGCCTATTAGTGTCCTGATCATATTTTTTAATTGGGATGTTCATCTTTTTCTTATCATTTTGTAAGCGTTTATCATTTTGTAAGCGTTTATAAAATGACCAACCATAAACATTGCTGCTTTTTCCAGCCCATGTAAAAATCTGACTTGCTATGACATATTCCACCAACACTCTCTACCTTCTGCTGGCTGAGAAGACAGGGAAAGGAATGACGGTTTGCCCTGCTGCCCTTTTCCTTCTGGGTCATCATTTCCGGTGTGGCTAACAGGGATATAACATGAGTAAGAAAAGATATGGTAAGTTCTTTGGTTGTTCTTGTTGCTGATAACAGTATTGATTCTTTCAAGCCAAAACTGGTTCTAAGGGAAAGCACAGCCTCTTGGCAAGGGGTGTGGGGTAGGAGAGTCACCACTTAGTTGCACACGTAGCACTGGGTCACACTGAACTATCCTGCATCATTGGGTCCACGAGAATTCTGTGCATGGCGCATGGCAAATGGTATATGCGAATGGGTGGCAGGGAATGCTGTACCTGCAAGTGCACACATACTCTATCTCCTCTGCTCACGCTCATTCTCCATTGTCTCACTGGACTTCACTTATAAAACACAAGTTCATAGATAACATTATAAGGAATTTTAAGACTGAGTATTTTGAGACAATGGAGCATGAAATCCAGTACAAAGAGCTGAGTGGGGCCCTGTGTGGCAGCCCACGAAGCTGGTCCTGTGAGAACCCCATTACTAATTCTTACTGGTGGCTGGGCCTGGGCAGGGGTTTAGGGGTCAGGTCACTGGGGAGAAGAAAGGGACTCGGACTCTGCCACCTGGTGTTAAAAAAGACCTGGAGGGCTGGGCACGGTGGCTCATGCCTGTAATCCTAGCACTCTGGGAGGCCAAGGTGGGTGGATTGCTCAAGGTCAGGAGTTCAAAACCAGCCTGAGCAAGAGTGAGACTCCGTCTCTACTATAAATAGAAAGAAATTAATTGGTCAACTAATATATATATATATATATACACACACACACACACACACACACATATATATATTTAGCCGAGCATGGTGGTGCATGGCTGTAGTCCCAGCTACTTGGGAGACTGAGGCAGGAGGATTGCTTGAGCCCAGGAGTTTGAGGTTGCTGTGAGCTAAGCTGACACCACGGCACTCTAGTCTGGGCAACAAACGTGAGACTTTGTCTCAAAAAAAAAAAAAAAAAAAGGACCTGGGGCTAGGCAAGGTGGCTCATGCCTGTAATTCTAGTACTTTGGGAGGCTGAGATGAGAGGATCACTTAAGGCCAGGAGTTGGAGGTTACAGTGAGCTATGATCACGCTACATCACTGTCCTCCAATCCAGCCTGGGTAACAGATGGGGACCCTGTCTCCAAAAAATAAGTAAATAAAAAAGAGGACCTGAGACCTTTCTAGTTCGCTCACCATAGGGTCTTCTAGCTCCCAAAGAACACCGCACCTCTGCCACCCAGCTCCTCTCTCAACATGCGCACACGCTTCCAGCTGGCTGGGACATTTAGTTTAGACCACGTTGGCTCATTAGAGCCGCATCGGTAGGAAAGGGCAAGGGTGTGGTCCCGTGTCAGATGCCCTAGCTCACTCCCCCCAGGAATAGTCCTGAGCTCCGTACTCACTAGCCCATCTCCACTCTCACACAGAAAGGCTCTGAAAAGGGGAAAAATTAGAGTGTTTCCTAAGCACACTTACAAATAACCTTTCTTCCTGAAGCAGATTCACTCTCTGGCAGAGCAGCTGCCTTTATTCTACCCTGGATCCAACTGCATTCCAACGACTGGTGAGGGACCCTTTATACAAGTTTGTAAAATGCTTGAAGAAGCGCCCAGAAAAAAAAAAAAAAGACACCACGCAAGCATAAGGTGTTATTATCACTTGTTTGGAAGTCTGTGTTTTGTTACCAAACATTCTCCCCTGGTGACTTGTAGATCAGCATGGTTTATTGTAAGCAAGGTCATGTGCGGTTTCTCATATTCCCATCACTGGCCTGTGGAGGGTCTTAGTCTTACTGACTTTCCAACGAAACTGTCCATAAAAGTGCTAAGAAACAAGCACTGAGGCGAGGAGGATTTGGATATTCTTTTTCCCCTACAAATGAAGAATCTAACACCCTAATCCATCAGATCTCCCGGACGGAAGCCACAAATCTTTTTTGTTTTGCTCAGCATATTGGCACAGTGACAAGCGCATATTACACACTCTCTCTCGATGTCTCTTGTAACCTCACCAAATCTCAACAAGTTCACAAAAAGGGCCGAGGCAAATAACCCTGGAATGCAGGTGATTGTTTATTTATGTATTTACCTTGCTACATACCCGTCTATACCCAAGGCCTTTCTGGAAGAGCTTCATAAAATGTAATAGTAACTGACATTCATCACACACTGAGCTTCTTTTTCCATTTCCTGTTTCTTTAATAGATCCCTACAGAGGGTGGGGAAGAAAGCTCAGGCTATTGCCAGACAATCGTATTACTTCACTCTCTCCAAGCTCATCAAAAATTCTTTTGCTGCTGTATGAGTGAAACACATTTTTGAAAAGATGACATGGGGATCGTTTGTAGATATCTCCACCAACGTTTGGCCACCATTTTCCTTGACCTCACATCATTCTAACCCGTTCCCAACATTTGCGATTCTCCCGAGAGTGCCTGAAGGACCAGAGGAAGGAGGCGGAGGACATAATTCCACCTTCTTGCACTTAGCATTATTGCTCAGGAAATTTTAAAGCACTTACCAGTGTAAGCGCCTTCCATTTCTCTGATAAAAATAATGAAAAGTGCTTGGGTTTATGATGATCGGCTCTCTGTAAATTCTGATCAGGGTAGACAGATACCTTTAGAGGAAGAAAGTTTCTCTGTATAAAGGAACATTTCCAGTTCCTTCCTGCTGCAGGACTTGTTCAGTCTCCTTCTCCTACTTTATCTTCTTTTCCTCTTCCTCTCCATCATCCTCCCCCCTTTTTCTTACATTGCTTTGAAGAAATAAAAAATCTTTAGAAAATTGATTATTCTGATTATTCAGTTTGCTTCCGTGTGACCTCTGATCATAGACTGTGTGACAGTAGTGGTCTTTGAAGTGCCTAGAAGGTCTCAATTACAACCTTTCTTCCTTGGGTTTGGACAAATTCAGTATTCAGATTTAGTTACTCATTTCCAAATGGACTGCCGGGCACAGCGCTGCACGCCTGTGATCCCAGCGCTTTGGGAGGCTGAGGCAGGAGAATCACTTGGGTCCAGGAGTTCGAGCTTACAGTGAGCTACAGTCACACTGCTCCCTGCACTTCAGACAGAGAGAGATCCTATTAACAAAACAAAACCCCCAAATGGTCATATTTGTATTCAGATACAAATGAAAAGGAGAGCTGAGCAGGCATGGGGCAGAGGAAGGTCTCAGGCTTCACTGGGTCTTCCAGGAAGGCTGCCCCTGCTCCCCTCTCTACTCTGTACTCCTCTAACTGGGTTAGAGACTCCTCTTAGCTGCTTCCGCAATACCCTACACACATCTCCTCAATCATCGCACTTACCACATTTTTTCCCCTTTGGTAGCTGGCTGTATTACCTGGTGTTACCAGGGCAATTATGAATCGTTATTAAAATTTAATGGAAGGACTAAAAATAAATATTTCAATCGTAGTGATTTTCTAAGATTGTAATAATCAATTAAGAGTTACAACTATTTCCAGCTTAGTAATAAAGCTTCTTTATATACTCCATTTTTCATTCTATTAACTAGAACACATAGAGATCAATATCGGCCAGGGATCCCCCTGGGGGAAGCAGTTTGATCAAACATCAACGTGTGCAAATCTGAGTGCTTGCCTTGGTCATTTAGAATCCACACCTGCTCACTGCAGACCTTTGAAAGCAAATGAGAGAAATTTGAGGGAATCACTTGAGGGGGCAGCTTGTAATTACTGATGACCCTTACGTGTCTCCTTTTATGTTAGGCTCTGTTGTTTTTTAAATGTCTGGATTCAGGATGGGAAGGTCAGAATTCGTCTTGACTTTATCATTGGAATGGTCTATCCTTTAGATTTTCCTTTCTACTTTAGAGTTTGGCAACTGAGATGAATTTCAGACCTTAAATATTAAATTTGGAACAATGGATTTGGGGTTCATATGAAATCCTATTTATGTTCTCTCCCTGTGGCATGAATGATATGTTTCTTTAGGCGTCTTCTGGTATATTCCTTGTATTCCTCCTATGACATCTCCATGGGCATGTCCTTGCACTGGGTTTCTGTTTCTGGGAGGCTGCTGCCTGCACTGAGTACTCAGAAGTGCACCTGGCCCATACATCTGTCCCCAGGTGTCTCATGGGGGATACTGTCAGAAAGAGCCTGTCTCTCTTGATCAGCCCTCATGTTGTTGACTCTTTCTGTCAAAAAAGATCTACTGACACCTATATGCCAGATTGTAGACTAGGTATCAGGGACGCAACAACAAAGAAAAAGACTTTAACTTATGGGCTCTTCAAAATTCTCAAAATTTCATTGCATATTGTGATGAAAAATGGAGATTTATTCATCTTTAAGATAACTTCTTGTTTTCTAGCATGATTTCCTTTGTGAATCCACAAGGGAAACATAGGAAAATTACAATGGACAACTGCAAAAAAAATTCAAGAACATTTTGAGACACCTTTGCCATTCATAAAATTATGGCAGCATTCACTATACTTACATTCATAAATTTAAACCTTTAGCATACTGTTATTCTATTAAATGATGCATTATATAACTTTGTTTGAAAAGAAAATAACTGTGTTTTTTTTCTTGTTCTTAAATACCTTCCCTCAAATTGGACACATAGCCACATATGACACCAACTATTTTAGTGCCAATAACAAAGAAATAGAAAATTAATTTTATTATATACATTATTAATTTCTGTATCTTTTTCCTAAAGGGTGGAAAACTCTGTTTTTTCTGTTTGAATAGCTAGAGACTAGTATAGTACCTGGAACATGGTAAGACTCTAATAAATGTGTGTTGGATAAATAAATGAAGGTAGGAACAATTTAGGAAACTTAAAAAATAGGATGACCCTTTTCTTTAGTATGGTATTTGGGATGGAAAGAAAGGAATGAAAATGGAAAGTTAAGGGTCTCTTACATATATTGCATGTTTCTTGTAGTCCTAGTTGTGCTAAGTACTTTATGCACAAGACATGGATGATCTCATGTTTAATTTCATGAAGGAAAAAACATCAGTTTAGTTTTACACATAAGGAAACTGAAGCGTAGTGAGTATGTGATCTATTCATCA